TGGGCATCCTTATTTGCAGCGCTGTGTGGAGGCTGCAATTTTGCTAGCTGCGATTGGGGCAAATGCTACCGTTGTTGTTGCAGGGCTTTTGTATGACACAGTTGATGATTCTTCTGTATCTATTGATTATATTTTGAAGACATTTGGAGCGGGGTTGCTGAGTTGGTCGAAGGGATAAGATAAATTGATTCTATCAATTTTTATTTTTATTTTTCATTTTATTAAATTGTTTGTTGGCCCCAGAATATGTTGTCAACAGATGTCGGACCCACCTGTACACACGTAAGTGAAAATCCAACACGCAAAGACACGTGGACGGTCTAAAATGGACAGATCAAGGGTGTGGGAGTAGCTCAATAGTGCAGGACGAGAACGTTCAAAATTCGGCGAGATGTTCGTAGATCGATTGTACAATAATTATCAATCGATGTTTGAAAATGTGTATGTAAAAATGTGTAAACTCGTATTGTGTTGCAAGATAATAAGAAAGAGTTGAGTAAAGTGTTGTTCCTTGTATTGATTCTTGCATTAGCCTTTGTATGGGGTACATGAGGGAGTATTTATAGTGTCACAAGTTAAATCGCGACCCTTAGTTTGGGGTACACGTGGCCTCATCTAGACAATTTACATGTCAAATTGTAGGCATCAGCCGCGTCTAGCTTGCTATACATTTATTGATTGGTAGAGCTGCCTCTACTAGTGATAAGACTTAACATTTACACTCATGACAAACATCCTAGCAATCATTCAAGTAAGATCTTTGTGCAGAGGATCTCTTGGGAGAAGTGTCTATGGAAGATGATGCTTTGTGATTCGGAGGTTGCTACCTCGGCTACAGAGCTTCGGCCAACAGGGCCTCGTCCACCTTCAAAGGGCCTCGACATATGGAGCTTCGGTATATATGGGCTTAGGCTTCTGTGGACCTCGGTTCCTTGTATTGATTCTTGCATTAGCCTTTGTATGGGGTACATGGGAGAATATTTATAGTATCACAAGTTAGATCATGACCTTTGGTTTGGAGTACACGTGGTCTCAGCCGGACAATTTACATGTCAAATTGTAGGCATCAGCCGCATCTAGCCTGCTATAAATTTATTAATTGGCAGAGCCGCCTCTACTAGTGACAAGACTTAACATTTACACTCATAACAAACGTCCTATCAATTATTCAAGTAAGATCTTTGTGCGGAGGATCTCTTGGGAGAAGTGCCTATGGAAGATGCTGTTTTGTGATTCGGAGGTTGCTACCTCGGTTATAGAGCTTCAGCCAATATGGCCTCGTCCACCTTCAAAGGGCCTCGGCATATGGGGTTTCGGTATATATGGGCTTAGGCTTCTGTGGACCTCGATTTGTGGGCCTCGAAAATGCAAATCACCTCGGCTTCAGGGCCATGTGGTTTGGCACGAGTTGGCTATGGGCCCTCGTAGGTTGTCCGAGTGTGCAAATACACTGTTACTTAGATTGATTTTAGTATGTAATATAGCTGACGACAGTTCAATGAAATTCCATGATGCGAGGATATGTTCTTCAAAACTTTATGATCTGTGATCGTATGTTTACGTTAGTTATTACCAAACTTTGTCTAGTTGTTTGGATGTTAATGGTATGTTTGCCATTGTAAACTCAAGAGTTTAAACGCTCTCTCCTTCATTGGTGTGGGCATGTAACAGGAAATTGCGAGTCTTTCTTTATTTACTGATAAGTCGCTGGGATTTCACGTGGTGAATGAAAGGGATGCCATAAAGAAAATGACACACTGATGAAAAATTGTTCTCTATGACAGTGATCTCAATGTTGAATGGAGATTTAGTCATGACTATAACTTACGATGTTAAGCATTATGTGATTATATTAGAGGCCCTGACTTGTCGATAAGTCTGTAGGGACTTGCTCAGTTTCTGTGGAGTACTTTTCTTTGCAACTCTAGTTGAGAAGCTGATTGGCATAAATGTAAAATGACGGATTAAGTTTCTTCCAGGTGTCTAAATTGAGCGACTTGAGCAAGCTTGCACGTGATAATAACATAGCCAGTAAAACTGTTGAGGCAGGCCGTTTGCATACTACGTTCCTTGCAATGGCCGATGCTAGAGCTGTTCTCATAAAACTGGGAAATCGTTATCATAACATGATGACCTTGGATGCATTACCTTTAATCAAGGAACAAAGATTTGCGAAGGAAACTTCCTTCGCAAATCTTTGTTCCACTAGCCAACCGATTAGGGATCTCTACTTGGAAAGAGAAATTTGAAAATCTCTGTTTTAGATATCTCAATCCAAATCAGCACCAAGAAATGTCATCCAAACTTTTGAAGTAATTTGACGAGGCTATGATTTCTTCTGCAGTAGATAAACTAGAGCAAGCTCTGAAGAGTGATGCCATTTCTTATTACTCTGTCTGTGCGCCATAAGAGCTTGTATAGCATCTATTCCTAGATGTTAAGGTATGCTCTTTTTCTATACACTCCCACACACAGAGTTAGCAGGCTCACAAACAAAAAGAAACATACCATTATCTTCTCATGCAATTTGTAAACCCTCAATTTTTATCATTGCTATATTTTCTACATCAGGTATAACATATCTATCTGTCTAACAGATTTTGGGGGTTGATTATTTGCTTGAATGATTTCACAGTGGCTTCAGTTTCTGTACTAGTTAGATTGAACCCAGTTAATCTATAAATATCGTCATTGTCAATGGTAAAAACTATCACTCTTGCATAACATGACGTTGAGCTGTGTTTTGTTCTTGGGGTGCTGGAAGTCTTCAATATATAACTTGTGACATGTTATCAAGCTAAACACATTGTTTTCCTATTCCAAAAACAAATCAATGTTAATCTACCTCATATGGTGGTGGAATTTTACCTTCTGCAGAAAGAAGCTGAACATGAATGAAATTCATGATAACCATGGATTGAGATTGATTGTTGAAATGGAGGAAGACTGTTACAAAGCTTTGAGAATTTTACACCAGCTATGGAGTGAAATACCTGGGATCTTAAAGGACTACATAGTTTATCCCAAGTTTAATGGGTATGCTATATCTAGAAGTGATGTTGTCTTATTCTACATATCGTTTGTTATCATAATTAATTTGAACTCTAAAATTTTTGGGTACAGATCTTTACATACAGTAGTGATAGGTAAGGGTATGATTCCTCTCGATTTCAGATTCGAACAAAAGAGATGCATTTGCAAGCTGAGTATGGATTTGCTGCTCATTGGAGATACAAGGAACTGAGGAAGGTGATTGTGAACATTCGTCTTTTGTGCTTCAGATGGTTGAATGGGCACGTTGGGTCGTCACCTGGCAGTGTGAGGCTATGAGCAAAGACAGGTCATCCATTGGCTTTGTTGACTCCATGAAGCTTCCTTGCACATCCCCGACTCATTCTGTGGATTGCCCATTTTCTTGCAAACCTCATTGTGGCTCAGATGGAATTGTCTTTGTTATAATGATTGAGAATGATAAGGTTTGTTCTTCAGAAATTTATAGTCGTATTTATTACTTGTATACTATATCATGATGTATGAATGGAGGACTAATGGTAGGTTTTCCATTTGGAGATTTCCAATTGATTTTGGTGTTCAGGTGGTCTTATTTTAATCCCACCTTCATATTAGTTTTATTTGGAACTTGAGTACATCATTTTCTTGAGTTCCAGGGAATTTGTGTCCTTAGGGAATTTATACTTTTAAATCCAATGGATTTGTAATGCTTGATACGATAAATGATCTGGTGTATGGATCTTGCAGATGTCTGTGCATGAGTTCCCAGCAAACTCAAATGTTATGGTTCTGTTAGAAAGAGCTGGTCAAGGTAGTTCTATATGGACTCCCTATGGATTTCCGGTGATGGAAGAGTTGAGGCCACAGCTGAACCATGAGCCAGTCGGTGATCCTACCTGCAAGCTAAAAATGGAGATGTGGTGGAATTAACTCCGGCCGTCCCAGACAAGTCACTGATAGAATACCGTACGCGAGGAGATTCGACGTCTTATGATAGGGGTGTTACCATATCAAGCACGGTGCCTGCTGCCAATACCATGGCCAGGTTAAGAAGTTGACCCCTTGGTTCCTCCAGTTGTATTATGCTGTCGATGAATGATTAGGCACTTGTTTGATATGGATTAAAATTAATTTTTTAGTAAATTTTAGTAAAAGTTGATGAAATGGGTAGTTGACAATTTATGGGTCTCATAAAATGTGCGGTTAAAATTAATTGACTTTGATTTGAAATTTTAATCAGCTTTTAATCATTACCAAATAAAGGCTGGTTATTATTGTTTATAAACGCTAACCATTTGTACATAATAGCTAATTGTTTATGCTTACAAAGATATATGGTCGTATGGAGCTAAAGTGATCATCTTTAAGTGAGTTTTTCATTTGCATTAAGTTTTAGTTTTAAGAAAGTTAAATCGCTTTTTATCTACATATTTTATTAGACATACAAGCAATACCTACTTATCTACCACTCATTTCTGTTTGTTTATAAACACTTATTTAGTGAATGAAGCGTACGACATCATTCCTACCAATTTTATTAAGCTAAAAATGAGCTACTCAGTGGAGGATTTGATGCTATTCCCAAATTCTGATGAGAAACATAACAGAATAAGTGCACATCGATGAATTCAACAGTTGCACCACCTCGATTCGACTGAGCTCTCGCTTACCAAGTATCCCGCCTGGGCAAGACTAAAGGCAAAATCCTTATTCAGCTCCAGCTTGCAACCATAGGGGCCTGCCCTGCGAGGCCAGCTAGGCCGTTTTCTATCTCTAAAGGGGCTTACTAAAGGGGGCCTTAGAGGAGTATCTGTATCACGCTTGCTCCTCCACTTGTGACGAAATGACCTTCTAGACGATTGACAAGAAATATCTAGTAAATTAAGATTTCCAAGTCTAGAAGACTAGTGCCTACTGCTTAGTATTTGGAATAGGAACATCAATTGAAACCAAAAGAGAAATTTTAAGTTTGTAAAATCAGTCACTGCTAAAAAAAGTACAGGCCAGTCCTTTATAGCAGGAAGCAAATGAAAAAGCTCACTCCGACTGCATAGCAGAAGACCAATTTTCTAATTCTTAAATAACATCGAAACTACATTGGAGCAATGCCGAGGGAGAGCTTCGTAGACATCGTTTTATAGCGAGATAGCTCAATTTCAAATAAGAACATTCTACGCATCAAGTGCAAAAATACATACTCAAGTCAACTAGAGTAATGCATATATGGAAAGTACTCTTCGCTAGGGAGACCATTGCGGAGAATTCATCCTTTTGTACAAAAACTAACTTATCTTGGACGTTTAGCCCCAATCGGAAAAGATACTCGCTGTGGGGTGCCTTGGGGCAAATCTCTACGGTCTTGGGAAGCATTGGGATTGGGATTGGGATTGGGATTGGGATTGGGATTAGGAGTAGGGGTAGGATCAACACCTTCGTCATCGTCCTCAGTTTCTTCTACTGGGTGGCTTCGCTTCTTTGGAATAGCCAATTGGTAATTTGGACTGATCAAGGTATCCTGTTCTGGAGGAAGAGGAATTTCAGGCCCTGCTATTGATTTCGGCAACGGGATCTTATTTCTATTCCTTGCCAACTCGAGTAGCACCTGATGAGTAATGGTTTATAAATTTTTATATGATCATTCAACAATTGAAATCATACTTTCACGTATTAAAATATGAAAACAGACGCATGTCGAATCTAGTAGACACTTTTGGAAAAATAGCATGATTAAAAAAGACGAATGGAAGAAATCATATTAGCATTTAAAACCTTCTCAAGTTTCGTTACAAGTAGGTATCAAAGCTTCATGGGAGAGGGGGAAAAAAAAAAACTGCATACTATAAGCAATCTTGACGAGGAGCGTAAAAGCAAAACTCATTCCTCTAACTTGTATAGAATGTGGTCCTAGTGATGAGATATTATGATGGAGTTCCTAAAATCAAATCAGTATGATCTAGACTCGAAATTGATCACCCTTCCAAATATTGTCACACATTTAAACCCAACATATTATCCAAATAGTACATGCAGTAGTTCTAAAAACAAATGAATGAAGTCATATTGTACAAAATCCAGGAAAAACAAGAATAATTAACACATCATGGAAAGTTATAGTATGATTACCTCTCGAGGTGGAGGTTGCGAGAAACTAAAATTGACTTTAGACTGAATCGAGAGCTTAATATCATCAGAGTCAATTGTAGACTTCCCAGCATGTTCCGAGTAGACTTGTGCATCTGTTAGAACATCAACAACATAACGATACCACAGTTCTAAAAATTGATGCACAACACGAGGCTCGTAGTCATCAACATTCATTGATTTAAGCAGTGTCTTTACAACTTTCGCATCTCTTGGTATGTCCTCTTCTCCTCCCTCTGCCATCTTCTCCACACTTGTTCCCTACTGAAACAAATTTCCAACATAATTTCTCCTCCACAAATGCTATGAGAGAATTTAGAATAGTAGCAAGACAGAATTAGTAATCAAGAAATATGACACCAGAATGCAATGTTTGTTACCAAAGAGGAATAAAAAGAAAATAACACAGGTGAAATCCAGATACTATTTAATTATTTCTTTTAACCACAATAATCATACAAAGAAATGGAGATACTAAATATCATAATTGTTTTAACAAACGCGGCTCGAAAGATTATAAAGCCAGCAAATTTAACTATTTGATTTATTAACAAAAGAATCTTTCCCTCAGTGTTTGAACAAGTGTTTACATTTTGTTATTTTTGGATATTAGGCAACTAGTGAGAAATTTCAAGCTAAAGATACAAAAACAGGAAAATCAAGTACAATCCCGAACCCTAACAAATTTCACAAATACGATTTAAATAATTTCCCTAAAAGTAAAACATAAAATTCAACATTTTTTATTAAGATATTTTAATTCAGTATAATATAAAAAATTAAGAACAAGACATATTTAGAAAGCATGTAAAACATAATAAAAATTGAAAATTTTATCGAAAAAACAGATTCTGGAACTTCATATGATTTATTTTCACATCATCACCCGGTGTTCTGCACAAGGAACTATTCATAGTAGTGGGCTGGTTTGAATTGGGTTTGGTTCCCAGGAGAACAGGATCAAACCAGTTCCAATTTAGAATCTTACACTTGGAATCAAACATTTCTAGATGCAAGACAGGTACAAGAACAGACCAGAGTTGATGGTCCGATACTTTTGAAACGTTCACAGTAGGAATCTTACACTTGTAATCAAACATTTCTAGATGCATGACAGGTAAAAGAACAGACCAGAGTAGATGGTCCGATACTTCTGAAACAGATCTACTGTATTTTACTATTTCAGCACAAGTTTAGACAAGGCTAACCAGTCCACAATCTTGAATGCTATATGCCTGTACCTAGTGCATAAGTGTCTTACAACTCAAAGTACTTTGTTTTCTAGCACTTAAGCAGCAATCATAATCATACTAGAGATAAATAATTTTAAATGCTTAATAAAGCATAAAACTCCAGCACTAATAAATTTACATAAAACATTAATATAATCACTTGTACAATGTGTTTCCTTTAAATAAGCTTAGTCACGATTATAGACTACCAATTGAGCCTTGAAGAACACTAGATTCAGCTATATCTAGAACAAGAACCGATGGAACCAAAAGAAGTTAAAAAAATTAATAAAATGAAAAAAAAATAAAAAATAAAAAAAAAATCAATCCAACAGAAAATGTAAGAACGATATTTAAAAAAAAAAAAAAAAAAAAAAAAAAAAAAAATTTTAAAAAAAAAAAAAAAAAAAAAAAAAAAAAGGAATTTTAAACACAAAAGTTCATGCATTAAAAGATCAAAGATCAAAAGCATCCAAGAATATGTATAAAATTATAAATATCACCAAGATCATATATCAAATCTTACCTCATTAATAACTTCTCTAGTTCTTACAAATCAATGATCAAAATAGCAATCTTGGCCACACCATATATAGCCCCTGTTTGAGTCCCATTTTTTGATAATATATTTTAGGGAAAATTGCAGCATCGGTCTCTAACCTTTTCGTTTTTTGCAACTTTATCCTAACCTTCATTTTGTGCCAATGAAGCTCTCTAACCTTTCATAAATATATACTTGAGGTTTATCTGGACGGAAACCATCTAAAACACAGTCTGCGAAAATTCCTTGAACATTCTGTTATCGCGACGATTTACCGTTTTGGACGGTTTTATTGAATGTTGATTCCTCCCAATCAACTAACGTTGTTTTGGACGGTTTCCGTCGAGATGGACCTCAGATGCATATTAATGAAATGTTAAGAACCCTTGCTGGCACAAAATGAAGGTTAGGGTAAAATCTATAAAAAATGAAAAGGTTAGGGAACGCTGCTGCAATTTTCCCTATATTTAAAAAAAATGATTATTTTTGGAGAATGTATAGTTAAAAACTAAGAAAAGTTATCAACATTATTATTATTATTATTTTATAGATAATCATATAATTTTATTAATAAAAGGATAATACACGGGAAATGTATTATCAATTTATATAAGAAAGAAAGAAACGACATGAAGTTATGCAGCCCTTCAATGTAGCCGCAACATTAAACCAAGTATACAAAGTCAAATAAAATAATTCTCAGATTTGCTCTGTTGCCTGTGTTTAGTCTTCAAAATAGTGGTTGTTCCTTTCTCTCCACACATACCAAACAATGTATTTTGAAATAAGATCACATAGAAGCCTACTATCTTTATTACGAATTTTTCTCCTCTATACACCTAGGCAACCCTCAAGCCAAATGTTGAGAAACCAGAATACCGTTCCACAGCCACCGAACACCATCACAATGAATAAACAAATGATCAATCGTCTCTTCATCCCTCTTACACATAATACTACTCGATAACATTAAAACAATTTCTTCGAAGATTATTTACCGTTAAGGCCCGCCCCCTCACAATCGTCCACAATAAAAATACTATCTGTGGAAGCAATTTAAAATAAGTGGAATGAACTCTCCACAAGTGCCAACATGAATCTAAAATAAGTCAGAATTGAAAAAATTACCATCCAGCGCCAACCTCCACCTACTACGATCATCCTCACCTATCCGAATGTGCGCCTCATGAAAGAAGGTCAAAAAAAACTTATAATCATCAATTCGCAATCATGTAGACCACCTTCAAACACAATATTTTAATTGTAGCTTCCATTGTGTATGACTAATACATCATTCATCATAGCAGAAAACTCCAAAGTAATGCGGTGCAAAGAAGAAAACCATACCTTTAGAGGTTGATCTCCACACCACGAGTCAGTTTATCTCGAAACTCACTCCATCTTTGTCTCATATACCTCCACAAACTCACCCCATAAGATTGATGACCCTCGACCAAACACCAACCCCCTCCCATTAGGCCATACTTTGCTCCTATGATTTCTGTCCAAAAACTCCCTCTCTACCGCAAATCGCCACAGCCACTTGTCTAATAAGTCCTTATTAAACAGAACAAGACTTTTCAATCCAAACCCCCCATATCCTTATGAGAGAGTAGATAACACCCCAATTAACCAAATGAAATTTCTTCTCTTCTCCCAACCCTGCCCAAAGAAATTCACTTTGAATCCTCTCTAATCTATTTGTCACCGTAATAGGAATCGGAAACAATGACAAAAAATAAGTAGGGAGATTGAGAGTGGATTTAATAAGAGTAAGGCAACTTTCCTTCGAAAGGTACATACACTTTCAGCCGGTAACCTCTTCTCCACCCTTTTAATAATTCCATTCCAAATATGTATATTTTTAAACCTTACCCCTAAAGGGAGCCCAAGATATGACATAGGCAACTGCGCAACTCTAAAACCCAGTATTCTGGCCAAATCCTCTACGTTAGCGACCTCTCCCGCTAGAATAATCTTAGATTTCCCAAAATTTATCTTCAATCCCGATATCGCTTCATTTCTAGAGTAGTAATTAAAATTAATATAATAATAAAGCTCAATATTGATAATTCCATCAAATAGTCCATAGTAATGAAGTTTATATACTTTAGCATAAGATTAAATAGTTTATGTAGTAATAAATGAGTCATAAGGATTTAATTATGTTTAATTAGGGCTTGGTGAGACTATCTAAGTTTCATTGTGTTTTCAACGAGTTGTACTTGTTTCAAATTTCAAAGTTGAACCCTAAACCCTAAACTAATTTTCAATTTCAAGTATGCAAACTTTCATACTTAATCACTCATTAAACAATAAAAAAAATCATCAAAAGTGAACTCATCATTCATACTTAATTACTTCTTGAAGTTACAGCAAAAAAAATTAATAATAATAATAAAAATAAAAAATCTGGTGGTAGCAAAATAGAAAAGGATTTACCTCGAATGGTCGGCTGCAACCCGGATGCAGAGTCGCAGAAAAAAATCGGCGAAGGCAGGCCGCGGTTATGGAGGATTGCAGTTGGCTAACAGTTTGGGTTCCTACTGCAAAATTCAGGGGAAGAGGAGATCAGATCAGATGGAGTGAGAGTCGGCTAAAGTTGGGAAATAGGCCAATTTCATTGGACCTAGGTACATGGGTCAATGGGTTTTAAATAGAATGGGCTAGATCTATTTTTTGAGTGGGCGGGGCCACTTTTTTGGGCCTATTGTTAAGCCCAGTTGACCCCATCACGAAACTATCAACCTGTAGTCGCAACCTTTATGATGTACTTCAAAAAAAAAAAAAGAAAAACGAAAAAATGGTATTAAAGATTTTGAACAAACAAGATAAGGGAAATGCTATTTGTACATAATTTGGTGTCCATAAAGATGTTTACTCCCTATTGAAATTGGGTCCCTTGAGAGAGATGAACACCATTATGAACACTATGATATATACATATCATCATCCTCAAGATAATTGCAGTTGAACCTATTAAGCTCGTTTAATTTGTATTTCAATTTCTAACTCATTTTCATTTTTTATTTTTATTTTTATCTTTAATTTTGACGACATATTTTAAGAGTGCAAATAAATGCATTTGGCTTATCATTCTCAAAACTATTTATCAAAATAGAAAATTAAAAAATACATTTGATTTGAAATTTTTAGAAGTCGTTTCATAACATTTTGTTCAATTCTTGCTATAAAATTGTTAGTGTTACCTATCTAAATGCCTATTTGAGCCCCATTTTTTTGTTAAAAATGCATTTTATAATAGTATATTGATAGAGAATATATAATTAAAAAATAAGTAAAAGTTTTGAATTTTTGTATTATTTTATTTTATTAAAGAATGCATGATTGAAAAGAAGAGAGAGAAAAAATAAAATTTTAAAATAATGAGGACCAAACAACCCCCTCCCCGAAAATCAAATTTTTGAAAACCATATATTTTCAAAACTAGCTAGATAAATAAAATTAATAAAAAAACGAAAATCAAAATCCAATTCTTTAGAAGCAAAAAAAACTAATATGTGTGTTGGGTTTATGATACTCAATAAATCCCGAGTTATGATGTTAACTTGAGTTAATATTATTTTATAGGCATAAACCAATGAATGAAATAAGTTCAATGATCAAATTCATGAGCTACACTCGGCTCAATTGGATTCCCTTATGGATGCCTTGAATCTTAGCCCATTTATCCCTTTAATGGTCCAACTTAAAGCCTAACCCTAGAATATATATATGGTTATAACCCTATCCACTTTCTTATGATGTATTTTATGATTTTGAGAGAAGAAAAAGAGAATCTCGACTGCCCTCCTTTGTGTGAGAAAAAAAGTTTCTAGAATGTCCAGAACGCTTGTATAACGTGTGCAATTGGTGGTTCCTTCATACTATACCTTTGTGGTGTTTTCTCCTCGTCTTTGTGCCCATAAATCATCATATTTTCTTGTCCTACGTGGGTAAGATTGAATAGCAACCGAGATGAATCAATTGATTGTGGTTTGGAGTCGATTGGATTGTTTGTTGGTTGAGAAAGGTGCGTTGGACTGAGTCCGAAAATTACCAATTTGAAGATCTTTCAAGAAAGCTTCCTCAACAATTGGTATCAGAGCCTCAAGGTGGTGGTTTTGGCTCGTGAAACATACCAAAAATGTCCAGAAATCACAGCAAAAATCTGATCGAAGAAGCTGTTTAAAAACTGTCAAAATCAGTCTCCATTTTTCGCATTTTCTGATCAATCCAGAAGGAGTTTGGGAAAACGGAGACCACTGGCATGACGTGCAGGAGGAGGCGCACCCTGCAGGAAGGTGTATGCTGGTCAACTCCGGCGCATGTGGCCCACACATAGAGAGGAGGAGACGAGCGTGAGGGCGCGTGAGCAGGAATTTCGAGGAGGTCCCTTCAGACAGTTTGTTCCTTATATTATTTCTGACATTTTTCGTGTTGAACATTTTCTCTTTCAGGGTACGCAGTAGAATTTGGATAGCGTTGTTCTTCGGGCGTTCGAGACTCGATCTTGATTTTTTGGTTGCTGCAGTTTCCAAAGACTTTAGGACGAATAGTGGTGGTCCTAAAGTGATAAATTCGTAACTCTCGTAATTTAAGGACTCAGATAGGTCCGCTCTGGTATATTGACTTAACTCGGTTTAAATTTCAGCATTACAGATCATCGTGTGGGGTGATCGCTAGGATTGTGGGTTGTCATTGCTTGTGCTTGAAAATTTAGGAATTATTTGCTCTATTTTGAAGTGTTAAACTTTGATTGCAAGTTGATAGTTAATTTTGTGCTTATCTGTTATATTGTCACTGTGTGAGACTTGTTGTGTGAAAATTTGAATTTTTTATATATACACCTTCGTATTTGCATTAATTATCCAATTAGAATACCTGGACTTGACCCATTCGAACATTTTCTTGATCTAAGATCGTGAATCTTACGAAATTCTGGGAATCTCATACGATGTATATTGCAACTTTAGGATTATTTTGTGTGACCTATTTGTGACTTGGTTGTTTTGTTTTTTTATTTTCTCCTTAAAAATATTTTCACACTTTGAAATTGGAATTTTCAATGGGAAAGAGGATTTTCCAATTTGACAACAAAATATGAAGGTTATTTTGGTCCAACAAAAAGTTTCAAAGATCATAGATGACAAATTTCCTACAAATTTAACAGAAGTACAAAAAGAAGAGTATGATAAACTTGCATACACTTCAATTATTTTACACATGTCTGATACTGTTTTGAGAAAAGTAGGAAAATTGGATTCTACAAAACAACTTTGGGAAAAGTTGGAGGACTTATATTTACTTAAGTCAACTCCTAATAAATTGTACTTGCTTAAACAATTTTTCAGCTTTAAAATGGATCCTTCAAAGGATTTTGATGACAATCTCGATGTCTTTAACAAGTTAGTTCAAGAAATTGTTAATTGTGATGAAGAGGTATCTGAAACATATAAGGCTATTACCCTGCTTAATTTCATGTCTGATTCATATAGGGAAGTTAAGAATGCAATTAAGTATGGTAGGGACACCTTAACACCCGAGATTGTCATAGACTCGCTTAGGAGTAAAGAGATGGAGATTAAGGCTGAAAAAAAGGACAAGAGAAATGACGAGTTACATATGATGAGGAGTAGGATGAAATTTAAGCAAATGAATTTGGGTAGAACTCAAGACGGTAGTGATTCAAGTAGTGACTAGAGTGATAAGGGTAGTAAGAAGAAGGATAAGGGACGAGACAAGTCTAGTGGTAGAAGGTGTTACAGTTGTGGTAAGTCTGGACACTTTATTAGATACTGTCCCAAGAAGAAAGATAAGCTGAAAGGTAAGATGAGAGGTGAGACGAATTTGGTTGAGGGATCGAGTTATGACCCCAGTGAGGTTTATTAAGTGTAAACCTAGTCACGACATATGCATCTGTGTGTGATCCTTTTTTTGCATGTGTGTGATTATCTAAATTTTGTTGCATGATTATCTGCTACATCTCAATGTGCTTGATATGTGTGTTTGCATGAATTTGAGACATTAGGATTACTTGGTGTAATTGCTTGCATGCATAGTGGGTTAGGATGTATTAGTAGTGTGTTGTGTGCCTTTTGGTAAGGTGGAGTACAGATGCTTAGGGGTACATGGTGGTTTGTACCGGGGATGTGGAGTGTGACATTTGGATCACGAGTGAAGATGTGATCAAATATCTAGAATCTTTTATCTAGAAAGAGACCCTGATTAGATGGAGTGTAAAAGAGGCACTTCTATCACTTCTGTTAGAAGAGACCCATTATCCACGTAGGTTGGGAGAATTGATGTGACGATAGAGGATTATCCCGTGGACTTAGGATCTATTGTGACTTGCCAGTTAGACATGAGTTGAGTGATCTGTCTAGTGAACTTGGTGGGCGATGAGAGGAGATATGTGTTCTCGAGGAGTGAGCAACACGGAATGAGATATGATAAGTGTGGTGCGATCTTTTCTTAGGGTTATTTATGCATGTGTTGCATATGTGGTTGATCATGGTTTGATTGACTTGGTGTTAATCTATGATTCTATGTGAACGTGTTTCTGAAAAGATCTGTGTGTGTTATCCTATAGTATATCATCATCGCACGTATATTTGCTCTTGATTGTTTACTGTTAAATATTTGCTTCTACTTGAGTATTTTTGACCTTAGCCCCAGTAAGTATATGGAGCAGGAATGGTATGTGTTTCAAGTTGAAAACACGAGGTAAGGTCTATGATCCAATTTTATTGGCTACCTTGATTATGCAAGTGCTAACTGTAGTTTTGATTGCTTGCAGATTTATTGGGTATCAAGGTGGAGATTTGTTGGGTTTTTGATACCCAATAAATCCCGGGTTATGATGTTAATGTGGGTTAATATTATTTCATAGACATAGGTCGATGAATGAAATAAATCCAACAACCAAGTCTATGAGTTACACCCGGCTCAATTGTATTCCCTTATAGATGGCTTGAATCTTGGCCCGTTTACTTCTTTAATGGTCCAACTTGAAGCCTAACCCTAGAGTATATATATGGCTATAACCTTAGCCACTTTCTTATGATGTATAGTGAGATTTTGAGAGAAGAAAAAGAGAATCCCAGCTGCCCCCCTTTGTGTGAGAAAAAAGGTTTCTAGAAGTGTCCAGAATGCTTGTATAATGTGTGCAATTGGTGGTTCCTTCATACTATACGTTTGTGGTCTTTTCTCTTAGTATTTGTGGTCACAAATCATCATCTTTTCTTGTCCTATGTGTGTAAAATTGAATAGCGACCAAGATGAATCAATTGGTTGTGGTTTGGAACCGATTGGACTGCTTGTTGGTTGAGAAATGTGTGTTAGACTGAGCCCGAAAATCACCAATTTGAAGATCTTTCAAGAAAACTTCCGCAACAATGTGTAAATCCATAATTAGTTAATCAATACCAAACTGGAAGCAGATAATAGAAGTAGTAGTAGAATTGGGAAGAAGTTGGAGGTGTTGATTGTTACTGGTGAGATATCGTCAACTTTAGGGAGGAAAACAATAACCTATGGAGTTTCCATTTGGTAGCGAGAGGCGATGGTCACAAGGTGAGATCAATTGTT